TTCCCTTTGCCCCCCCCCCCAAAAAAAAAACCCTGAACTATTTTTTAAAAGATTCAGGAATAATTTTCTACAACAAGGCAATATCCCTACTTGCTCTGACCAAGTGCTTCCTAAGATGCTATCATTATATAGTTTGGGAACGTCAAAATTACAAGGTCTGTCCAACAGCCCTGTAGCAGGAAAGTGAGAATCAAAACCATAAGGCTCACAGAGGGGGCCAGCAGGTTGCAGAGCTGAAAGTATCTACAGTTCAGAAGTGCTGCTAAACCTGACAACTCCATATGCAAACCTCCCTCTAAACATTAATCTATAGAGCATCCAGCTGTTTGCAGCTTCATAAATCTCATATTCAAATAGATGACTAACAGATACTAGCCCAATACAAGATGTCTGCTTCCTAAAATCATGGCAACACAAAACCATTGAGTGATGGGCTTGCACTGAAAGGACAGGGGAATGGAGGAGACAGAAGGAAGTGCTACCATTGGAAATAAATTTTCTACTCTTGTTCTAGTCCATCTTTACTCTCAAGTATTTAATATTCTTCCTTTTCTTTCTCTTGAGTCTTCTTTTTTGTCTTTTCCACCCAGTTCTAAAGGGATTGTAGGAAATCTCATCTGAAACATCCCCTGTTCATCATCACCATGTTCATCACCCCCATGATGTAGTATAGTTGGCCAGTATCATCTCAGAGGGCCCTAGGATTAAAAAAAGTCTTGCATTTGGACTGTTAGTATTAATCCTATGCAGTGAAATGGACCTGGGAAATGCTACACTCAGCTGAATGTTATTCACCCCTAGCTGGAGAAATGTCAAACAACTGGGAGAGCACAGCTTCTACAGCAAGAAATGGCAGCATCAGTCACTTCACTCTTTGAACATCCCTCCTGCGCTGTGAACAAAGCAGGAGCTCCCGGACCTCACTGTGCCTGAGCTCTGCTTCCACAGAAAGGTGCATCAGCCCTCAATTACAGAACAGAAATAAAAACTGGTGAGTTTAATGTTAAAATGAGCAAATGGGTAAAAATTAGTAAATTTGCCCCCCAATCATGACTTGTGCCCTCCTAGAAGAGCCCAAATTTCCTTCCTAGGTAGAACTGAGAACTCAAACCTTCTCCTCCAAAACCCCCAAAATTATTATTCTCCTTCCAACTGCCCGAGTAGCCAATATTTCCAGGCAGAGGCCCAAGCCACTCTGCCCCTTAACTCAGTGCATACCCCCAAGCTCCACATCCATCCCTCAAGAGCACATAAATGGTTCAAAGTAAATAAATCATATACACAATTACAGAATCAGTCCTGTAATGAGTATGGAATTCTGGTTTGACATTATACCTTCCAGCTCCTTATTTGGTATGGAAAGGAAGGACACTGTTCCTGTTCATCTCTATAAAATTAGAGAAGTTGGTTAATTTGCAGCCTACTGATGTGGCAAACAGCCTGATTTGACTTCGCAGAGATCACTTTTGGTTTTATTTATCCAGTCTGCTTCAATAAGAAGATCCCTTATGGCTTAATTTCCATGTGCATAACAGGGTGGAAGTGTTAGCCTTCAGGTTAGTCACACAGCTCACCCTGCAGAGTGCAGCTCTCAGATGGGCCAGTAACATTTCCTGCTCAGCAGCTGATTTTACAAGTCCCTGTTACAGCTTTCAGTCTATCAGTGACAATTTTTTATTTTAGCACTCAAGCTCCATCTAGCACAGAGAGTGTGCTCCAGAACTAAAAATTCAGTGCTGCAGCTGTATAGAAAACATCCTCCCATGCAGAAACCCAACACCATGCTTTGTCTGAGACCAAGAGAGAAATAAGCTCATTGTCTGTTGCTTCTCCAGCCTTGGAGATTGACATGCTGCTCTTAAACAAAGCAGATACAGGGAAAAAGCACCTGCATACAGGAGGTGGGATGGCACCTACTGAGCAGGGTGACTCCAGGCTGGGTCCTGCAGCATGGGGACCAGTCCCACCAAGCTGGAGATGCACCTGGTGAGAACAGGCAGCTCTCCCAAGCTTGTATCTGCTTTTGTGTTTGGAGGGTGGTGGTGCAGCAAGACAGGCTGTGGCCTGTTGAAACTCTCATGTTTGTGTCCATGGTGTCTGTTTTATGCTGCTCTTGCACTTGCTGTCCAGGTGCTGCAGTACAAGTGGTGGGTTGCAGGTGGCTGGGAGGGTGCTGCATTGTGTTATGTGAGAACAAGCCATGGAGCTGGGAATGCCTTAACCTGCTCACGCTGCTGCAAGTCATGGTGCTGAGCAGTTTCTTGGAGACCTTTCTAGGCCAAGCTGTAGAAAGAGTGTTAGCTTTTCCCTCTAAAACTCTTGTAGTCCTTGGAAGGATGCCCAGGTGACCCACGAAATCCTGCTTTAGGGTGCCCTCCAGCAGCTGGTGGAGGGAATGTTGCTGTTGTGGTCCATGAGTGACATTTTTCTGCCATTTTTAGAGCAGAGCCTATGGTTGTGGTCCTCAGCTTTAGATTTTGCAGGTCCAACATTTGCAGGTTATCAGATGTAGATTTTTCCCAGGATCACCACATGGAGAGTGGCAAGCAATTGTCCACATGGCACAGGTGGTCTTGAGGCTGATGACCAGCCTTAGCCCAAGTTTAAACTGATGGGACCACAACGAAGGAAACTATTGGTTGTGGCAAACAGGTGATGAAAAAATGTTTGGCCAACACTGGCCTGCCTCTGAAGTAGTAAGGCAGGAATGGGAGAAGCTACCAGAGAAAAGGATGGAAGGAGTCTGTTGGGGAGCCTGAGGGTAACAAATGACAGATGTTGAAAGGGGGGAAATGCTGATTTACTGGTGTTGCTGAGCATGGGTGTGGAGTCAGCAAATAATGCTGCTGCATTGGCAGGATGGGGGCAAATATGGAAAACAGGACTGAGGCAGGTTAATTATTTCAGAGGGGAATACCGAGTCAATGACATTTACTGAGTAGTCTTAGTGTGTAAGGACAGTTACTGTAGGGACCTACAGAACATGTGTGTGTGTGTGCACGCACAACAGTCTTTAGCCCAGCCACGGGTGCCCACTGAGCACATGTTTAACTACATTTCCGAATCCTGATGGTTTCTAAAGCATCATAAAATTAAGTAAAAACATCAACTGAATCATGTGGAGAGCTTTTTGGTAGAAAATGGACACTTTGCTTGTGTCCCTGACTGAAGAATAAAGAAGAATTGAAGAAAGTTGGCAGCTGTGCAACAAGAAATTCAGAGTTGCAGAACTAAAGAACTGATACCCAGGATGTCGATGTTAGAGTTAGTCTCTTAGCTTAGCCAATCAGAGTATAGACTAGAGTGTGTGGACAGCAGATGCACAGTACATTGTAACCAATTATAATAACGCAGCCTAATGCGTGCTCAACGACACAGCTCTGAAGATAGTATAAATTTTCAGTGTTAAGAAAAATAAAGGTCTCTGTTTACACAGTACACAGAGTCCATGTCTCCATCTCCTCACAATCATCTTAGGAAGTTTTCACCAGAAGATTACCCCTCATCCCTAAAGCATACTCAAGCCTTCCACTGCAAATAAATTGCTCCATACCTCAGTAAAAAGCAAATGTTCTTCAAAATGCAGTTTTACAAGTACTGTTAAATATAATCTTCTCCATAACCCATTGACACTTTCCTTTTGCTTGACCGAGTCCTCCGAGAACTTAAAAAATGCCCAGCACTTGGTGGAAACACTAACTGACCAACTGTTAATACCAAACAAAAAAAGTGCTGGTGTTTATGGAGGCTTTTTAAATACTGACACATACCCACCCACAATTTTTCCTCTTCTTGGAACAACAAAAGCAGCTTGTAAGCAGATTTCTGAATGCTAAACAGCCCTAGGAAGGATGTAGCTTTGTGTCTCAAGTCTTGTAACGGCTTATGAGCACATGACTTAGCTCACACAAATGCTTCCACCGAAGAGGATGACTTAACATGCCCAAAGCAAAGTATTAGCATGACACATGTCGAAGCACCCCTGCGTAAGAGGCATTTTCACTAGTTACAGGGATCTCACCCAAGAGCCTCAGTTCAGTGGTATGTTATGGAGGAAAAAGAAAATGCAGCAGATATAAATGCTTTGTGTCAACCTTGTTTGCTCATAATTACGTTCCCTGACACACGTTTTCATATGTAATATAACCAGTCACAACTGGGAACTCCATAACTTAATCACAGAAGAAAAATTTCGAGTACCAGTGTAGAAGAAATATCTCCTGGTCTGCAGGTAAAACAATCCTTACAAAGCAACATGCGTAGTCGCGTTGAACGGAACGGGCAGGAGATGGCGCTCACTTTCTGTAGGTCTTTCTAAGGTTTGACTGTGCTCTGGTGTGCAACTTGAGTCTATGAAGAGAAAAGGTTTAAATATTGTACTGACTAACGCTATTTAATATGCAAGAAAAAAGCCTAAAAGCAGACCTCAAAGTACGACTTCTAACCAAACGCAGTATCGTGGCTGTTCCTCAGAAACTTCGATTTCTGCTGAGTATCTGCTGCATATTTCCTAAGTGTCAGATACTGAATATTCTCCCTCAGAACTCCAGTCAGCCCTTCCCAGAACTTGTCTAAAGCAGCCACTTTCATAGTTAACCATTTCCTGACATCCTTTTGCCTCCAGATACACCTGGTGAAGTTCTATTGACAGAGGTGAGGGCCTGCCCCATAATATTTTAGTACCTTGCTTTCTCTCATTGTAATTGAGGTCAGAATTAGGCCTGAAATAAAAATAGGTAGGGGTTTTTTTTCCCAACTAGATCTTCAACAGCAACAAAACCCTGATGGCACTCACTAATACATTGCAATTATGGCCAATACAAACCTTGATAAAGGATGTGAATAAGAAATCCTGAATCAGAAAGAAATATTGGTGATGTTTTCTCTTTATAGATAAAATATGAAAAGTTTGTAGTTGTATACAAGGAAACTTGCAACTCAAGT